TCTGTGTCTATTAACTGGTGCGTTTAGACCATTGACATTGAGAGAGATTATTGTCAAGTGGTTTTGTGCCATCTTTCTGTAGAGGTTTGTTGTGCTTGTAGCGTTTTTTTTTTTCTTGTCTTTCGGTAGCCCCTTTAGTCCTTCTTTTAAGTTTGGTTTTGAGACTTTGAACTTCCTGAGCTGTTGTTTATCCATGAAATATTGTATCGTTCCTTCGAATTGGAGTGAGAGTTTAGCCGGATAAAGTATTCTTGATGAGGTTTTCATTTCATTGAGTTTTTTCACTATATCCCACCATTGTCTTCGTGCTTGGAGGGTTTCCTCTGATAGGTCTGCTGTAAATCTAAGGGGTGCTCCTTTGTATGGGATTTCCTTTTTGACCTTGCTGCATGCTGTATTGTGTCTCTATCCTTGGCATCCATCATTCTGATTATGATATGTCTTGGAGTCTCTTTACTGCAGTCTCTTTTAGCTGGCTTTTTTCAGGCTCCTTGGGTCTGGATTCCTGAATTCTACAGCTCTGTGAACTTTTCAGCAATGATATTTTTAACCGTGGCTTTTTCATTTGGGTTGTCTCTCTCTTCTTCTTGTGCACCAATGATTCTAATATTTTTCCTCTTGAAATCATTCCCTAGGGCTCTGATTTACCTTAGAGCTATTTGGGTTATTTTCCCCATTGATTTTTGTTGCCTGTAAGCTTTCTGCAGCTCATCTTCAAGCTCACTGATTTTGTCTTCGGCTTTAGAAATTCTTCTGTTGAGGGCACCCACTGGGTTTTTAATTCCATCTACCGAATCCTTTATTCATGACACTACTTTTTGTTGCTTTTTTATTTCTGCTCTCATTTTTTCCTGTATTTTCTCGACTGTCCATTGTCCTGCTTTTTCATGTTCTCCTTTAATTTACTGGATGTCTGTTCAACAATTTCTATGAGTTCATTGAACATCTTCAGCATTTCATCTTTGAATTCTTTATCGGAGAAATTGTATTTGTGGGTAATGCCTGTTGAGGTGTCTGGACCCTTTTCATCATTCTCTCCTCATGCTGGGGATTTTCACTGTTTCTTCATGTTTTGGTAGTAGTTTGAAGGTGGGACCTTCCAGTTCACTATCAGTATGGCCTTTTATTCCCCTGTATTTGCGAGAAAATATTCTGGTTGAGTTCAGTCGATGTAGTTCACCTTTTCTCCCTTCTAGAGTTCCACCTTCCTCTCAGGTGCTCCCCTGCGGCTTACGTGAGGTCTCTAGTTAACCTTCGAAGGATGACTTCTTTTATATTAGGTTTGTACAGCTTCTATTGTCTGCCAATATTATGGTGCAATTGGAATGGGCTACTGGATTTATTGGCCTAATGTGTTTGAGATTGTCAGGATATTCTCCACAAATTAGGTGATGGAGACTATGATGTAAGTACATAGTGCTGGTAAAGAGGAAAGTAACTGTGGCCAAACTGGCCACGCCCACTTTGTGGAAGCCACACCCCCTACCATGATGTAGGTTGGGTGCATGGTGTGGGGGCCCCAACCTGGAACAATGAGAAAACCAGGTGCTGTGCTGGACGATGGCACATGGGCAGACAGGATAGTGGCTGGGGAGGTTGGGTGGCTAGGGTCCGAGGGGATGGTTGGGGCTCAGGCATTGGGGGAATGGTAGCCTTCATCCTCAATTTCTAGTTTTCTGAGAAATGTCTATGCTCTCTTCCAGGAAGGCTAGAGTAATCAGCATTCACACCAGTACTGAATGAGAGTTCCTTGCACACTACTCCAGCACTGGTTGTATGTTTTGATGTTTTCCAGTCTCTGTGTAGCATGAGATGATATCTCATTTTTGTTTTGAGTTTAATATGCTATACAATTAGTGATGTAGAGTGCTTTTTCATGTGTCTTCTGCCCATTTGTATTTATTCTTTAAGGAAGTTGGTAATCATCTCTTTTCAACATTTTTCGTTGGGGATGAATTTTTTTTTTAAGTTCTACCAATTTCCTTTTTTTTTTTTTGCTTTTTGGATCATACTTGGAAATAAACAGGAGTTACTCCTAGATCTGCACTCAGGAATTATTCTTGGTGGTGTTTGGGGTGTATGCGATACTGGGAATCGAACCCGGGTTGGCCACGTGCAAGGTAAGCGCCCTACCACTGTGCTATTGCTCCATTCCCCACTACCAATGCATTTTTATCTGGGATATTAACTCCTTATCAAACAAGTGTTTGGTAAACATTTTTTTCCATTCTATGGGCTGTCTTTGTATTCTGGTCTTAGTTTCTTGCAGTCTTAGTATCCTATATTTAGTAGTCTATCTTAGTTGAGCAGTCTCGTATTAATGTAAGATGGTTCTATTTGTTTATCTAAGCTTGCACTTGCTTGTACAGTGGTGTTTCATTCTTTTAGATGCCCTTAGGTTCAATGTCATAGAGAGTTCTGTGTTCATTGTTCTCTATGTACCTTATACATTTAGGTAGGATAGTGAAGTCATTAATTCATTTTATTTGATTTGTCTACATTGCACTATAAAGAGGTCTGTGTTTATTTTTTGTATGTGTCTGACTAGTTTTCTCAGCACCAGATTTTGAAGATGCTTTCCTTGATATTTTTCACATGAGAATATGACCCATTTTGTGTATTAACTTTGTAGCAGGCCTCTTTCCAGAATTCATTTATTGTTTCTGGCAGCTGTTTTTTTTTTTTGTGGAATCTTTAGAGTATTTTATGTATATCATCATGTCATCATCGAAGCGAGATAATTTGAGTTCTTCTCTTCAAATTTGGATCCCTCTGATTTGTTTTTCTTCCCTGATTTCTGTAACCATGACTTCTATTACTATGCTGAATAATAGTGAAGAGAGTGGAAATCCTTGCATTTTACCTGACACCATAGGTAATTTTTTCATTTCTTCACCAATAAGGATGGTACTATGGACTAGTTATAAATGGCCATTATATCTTAGGAAAGTCTCTTCCACCTTTTTTGCTGAGGTTTTTTTTTTGTTATCACGAATTGATGTTGGATTTTGTCAAAGGCTTTCTCTGTATCAATTGAAATGGGCATATGTTTTCCTTTCCTTTTATTAATACAGTATATTATGTTAATTGATTTCTGTATGTTGAACTATTTTGTATCGCTGGGATGAATCTCACTTGAATAGGGCATATGATATATTTGGAGATGTTGTTGAATTCAGTTAGCTGAGATTTTTGCTAAGGATTTTTTAATTAATATTCATCAGAGAGATTAGTGTGGAATTTTCTTTTCTTGAATTGTTTCTGTCTGCTTTGGGTATTATTATAATGTTAAGGTCTTAGAAGGTGTTAGGAAGAATTCCTGAATCTTCAATATTTTGGAAGAGCTTAAGGAGTAAAGGAAGTCAATCTGATTTGAAGTTTTGATTTTTGTTTTTAAAGGAGATCCTTAATTATTGTTTCCTTACTTGTGACTGGCCTGTTTGGGCTTTCTACTTTCTCCTCATTCAGCTTTGGGAGATTATATGATTCTATCCATTTCTTCTAGGTTCTCCAGCATAGGGGAATAAAGTTGTTTATAATACCCACTCATTATATTTTGTATTTCTGAAAGACCTATTGTAATTTCTCCCATTTTATCTCTGATTCAATTTACTTGAACATTTTCTCTGTTTTTCTTCCTGTGTCTAGCTAAAGGTTTATATATCTTATTATTTGAAAGAAACATCTACTGGTTTCTCAGATTATTAGAATTGTGTTCTTGGTTTCTATGTTGTTGATTTTTGCTCTTTTTTCATTATTTCCCTTCTTCTATTACTTTTTGGATTTCTTTCCTGTTCTTTTTTTTTTGGATTGTTTAGATGTGTGTCTAGGTTGTTGACTTTGGCTTTTTCTTCTTTCTTAATCTAAACGTGCATTGCTATGAATTTCTGCCTTAGTACACCTGTTTCTGTATCCCATGGATTCTGGTATCTTGTGTCTTCATTCTTATTAGTTTGAAGCAACATTTTTATTTCTTTCTTGATTTCCTCTTTGATCCAATTTGTTTTTAGCTGTGTTTCTTTTCAGCTTACAAGTGTTGGAAGTTTTCCCCATCTTCTTTCTGTGGCAATTTGACTGATCTTCTGAAGTTCATTTGTTGAGAATTTTAATTAGGACATTTAGTCAAATGTATATTTAGTTATTTAGCCTTATATTTTCTTTGAAGTTCTATATAGTAAAGTAAAAATAGGTGGCTTATTGAAAACATTTGTCTGTGACACTGATCTTTGGTGATGGGAGTAATAAAAATACTTATGTAGACTTTGAAAGCCCTGAAATTCAATAATATTGTAAACCAATGAATAGTGAAATAAAAATAGCAATAAAATTAAAAGAAGAAAGTAGAAGTTTGATCATACTACTCAGATATGTTCACTCATGTGTCATTAGCTTATGGGCCTTGATGAATACTTTGTGTTAAAATTAAATATTTTATATTATCTTCATCTAGACTGCCATCTGATCAATGTATAAAATGTCCGGATAGTGTGTGTACTATCATGCAAACAGCTCTTGAAAGGCAGATAGAACACCAGTACTCCTGTTCCAGTCTTGCCAACTAATTCTATGATCCTTAGCTCTATGTCTATAAATTTGTTTCTTTGTAGAATTATTGCACCTATTTAGTTAGAGATAAAATCATCAATTGCATTGCTCCAAATGGTTGTTCCATACATGCTAAAGGATACTCGCATGATAGAGCAGTTAAGTTGCGTTAGATATTACATTCTTTGGTCAGAGGACAGGAGATGAATATAAAAAGTCCCATAATTTAAGGAGACTTTCCCTAACTTGCCTTCTTTTATCTTTGAGTCGTGATCTTAGTTGCTTAAACCTTTCCTATGGAAAATCTTTATCTTTGGTTTAAATTAATTAAATTCAAGTTGTTAATTGCTGAGTTCCTACTGCATTTGTTTTCTCCTAGCTGCCCTAACAAAGATGGAAATATTTCATAAAGGATAGAAGTATTTACTATTTCTCCTTTTCTTCTTTATTTGTAGGTTATTCATCAGCTGTTCAGAAATTTTCCCAAACATTGCAGTCCTTTCAGTTTGATTTCATTGGAGATACTCTGACTGATGATGAGATTAACATTGGTAAGTCTTCAGCCACATGTGACCAAGTGCTTCTTGAGGGCAAACAAAGAGCCTGGAGATCCTTTGTTTCATAGATATAAAGGATTGGGTATCTTTATCCTCAGTGCCTTGGCACTCAGAAGATGGTCTCATCTCCTTCTCACACAAGAGTAGTAAAATGTTATCCTTATATTACTACTGAGGCAATTACAAAGAATTACAAATACAAAAAATGGAGATATAACTTAAAAAGACTGGAATGCACACTTAATACATGAAGTCTCATATCTGATGACTGCCACTGAACGATTCCTGGAGCATCCCAGATGTTACTCTTGAGGTACTTACCCAAGGCCCGGTATCACCCTGCACCTCCCCAAATCGCTGGCCTTGAATAGTACTATTTTACTAGACCTGAGGACTGAGCCTTCTGGTTCCACACAACCAGGGAATGACCCTTAGATCCCTGAACAGTGCTTGAAAGCTACCTTCACACACTCAAATCACATAAAAATACTTTTGCAAAGTGTTTATTAAAAAGTAATGATTTCTGTTTATTATTTTGGGGGGCTCCATCTGGTCATGCTCAGGGCCGACTCCTTGTTTTTTACTCAGGGATTACTCTTGGTGAGTTCCGGGGACCATATATGTTACCGGGGATCATTGCATACAAAACAAGTGTTTTCACTCTGTACGTTCACTCTGAACCTTCTGTTTACTTTTGAAACTGATTCAGATAGGTTTGCTTCAAAAACCATCTCCCATACAATGTTTACACTAAGTCTGATCTACATCTGACTAGCACTGTATGTATGTGTGTGTGTGTGATCACTGTCCTAATGTTGTTCATCGATTTTGCTCGAGCGGGCCCAGTAATGTCTCCATTGGAGACTTTGTTGTTACTGTGTTTGGCATATCGAATACATCACAGGTAGCTTGCCAGGCTCTGCCGTGCAGGTGAGGTACTCTCGGTAGCTTGCTTTCCGAGAGGGGTGGAGGAATCGAACTTGGGTCGGCCATGTTGGCTGTGTGCAAGGCAAACGCCCTACCACTGTGCTATCGCTCCGGGGCCGTTTATAGTTTATAAAGATTTCCACCCCCAAGCTACAGATCTAATTACAGCATATGCTACTTCAACAGGAGTGGTCATAAAAGTTAACCCAGCTAGCCTCCTGACTGACCTTAATCCAGTAAAATAAAGAAAAGTGGTTGTAAAGAGAGTTTATTAAAATGCTTCATATATCTTGATGCCACCCTGCGTGGGCCGGCTGGGCATCTGGGTCGCCGCAAAGCCATCTCTCCAGAAGTGTTGGTGGCGTTGTTGGACAGCAGCTTTGGGCCACTCACCGTCTGCTGGGGGACTGCGGGTGCACAGCTCCTGCCGGCTCCAGCCGACCATGGCGTGCAGACCGACCCCACTTGGTAGCCCGCTTCCTCGCTGCCTCTGGCTCCTGGAGCTCGGGCTGCTGATGCGCACCTTTTCACGGCCTGCCAACCACTCTTCTGCTCAGGACCGAGCCAGCAGAGATGAGCACGAGACCCTGCCCCCCAACCACCTTTTCAGGGTGAAGCTCGAGCTGGATGGGCACCTCAACCAGGACTTCCATCAGGAGGTGTTCCTGGGGATGGACACGGACGGATTTGAGGAGGATGCTGAGCCGTGCTGGAGCAGTGGGAGCTGATGGTCATCTTCTCCAAGGTGGACGCTTACACTGACAGGAGTGTAGCTAGCCAAGTAGACTGGTTAAACCAGAACTTGTACCAGCTTTCCCAGACCTCCCTTTCTCTTCAGCGCTGCTCAAGGCCCTCCCTAAGCTTGGCCGTGGAGTCTCAGACCACCCCTGTGTGATCGGCATAGAGAAGCAGCATTTGTCTCTCAACACCACACATAAATCATTTTCATGGGAGGTGACCTTCCCTGTCTACCTGCCTACATCCTATTCCCCCCTAGAGATTTCACCATCTTAAATCTTTAAGGGGAAAATGGTCAGTGATCCATCTTCTGAAGCTGCTTCATGCTGACAGAGGGGCGCAGACCCTGCCTGTGCCAGGGGGAAATATCATGTTACATTAGTTTATAATGGGCCCCAGGCAATGAAGTGATTGAGTTCCTAAAGTTATCTGGAAGAAAAGTTCAATTAGACTGAGGTATATTACTTTAAATGGTTAGACCCTGGAGGAGTAGAAATTCCTTTTTGACCCAGTAGGAATAGAGTTGTTAGCTGTCTTATAGAAAAAGTTAAAGCAACAGAAACCAAAGCAACATTGGCTAATTCACAGACTGGGGGAAAGCAATTAATTCTGCACTTTGAGCTGAGGTTCCCCCTAGGAAAGATCAGACTAGTGACAGCATGTACAACATTGAGTTCCTTTATAGACCAGGCTGTTTTTCTATAGTCAGTAAACCAAGTTTTATCTAAAATTCCCAAAGGGGGTACCTTTTAGATCAAGATTAAAATTTATTCAATCACCTCTGTAGAATTAGAATCTAATCCTTACAAAAAGCAAGTTACAGAAACATGGTTTTCTCTTCACCTTCATTTTAAAACTTTGCCAGATAGCTTAACAAACCTGGCTTGTTCTTTTGCACAAACACAGCAAGATTAGAGAATTCTCCATTTGGGATACCCCATTATTTATTGCAAAGTCCTGGGGGTTGGCTAAAGACAGGAGACACACCAATAACAGCATTAATCTTATCTGGCACATCAGGGTTATCCAGGCCTGGCCATAAGATGTCCCGCGACAAACTGGATGGCCTTGAGCCTTCAGGTTGAACTGGATGTGGCTTTGGGCCTCATTTTCCGCAGAGATGTCCTGGCAGAAAGGAATTCATCCCATCCCTTCTTCAGGGCTGGGAGAAATCCTGGTTTCCAGAGTTTTTTCCTTGACGCTGAGAGTAGGCCCAGGCTGAGTTAGTCATTGCAGAGTCCTAGATTCCTTATTCTCCATAGCAGTGATAGTTTCCAGTCTTTCCTTGAGCTGGCCTGCCTCTAGGGTCACCCTGAGGTTTGTAGGGTACTTGAAACAGTACCTGTTAAATCCCTGCTCCTGTCATTTAGACAGATCCCCTGACTTTTTCCTTGCAAGAGGGCTTTGAGGTCCCATAGCTGGTTTTTCCTGTATGCATGAGGGGTAGACCCTATTACAGAGAGGAGAAACTCATCTGGATTTATGCAAACCAACATAGTGCCATGGAGCATTAAAAAACATACTGAAGGTACAAAGAGAAAAGCAAGCATTTCACCTTACAGTGAGATGTAATATACCCACTTGCTGTGGGTACTAGTCAAAAGAAGCTAAAATCTTTAGAGATAAAGCATACAGTTTAACATTGTGTTTAATTCATTCAATCCCATGTGGAAAACCTTGACTTCCCATCAATAAGAGCACTGTACCAGGAGTCCAGTGCACAGTTTAAAATGTCTAATTCATTTAATCCCATGTCGGAAAACCCTTAATTTCCTGCAACTTTAAAAAAATTCAATTATCTAAGAGTTCTGTAACAGGAGTCCAAATAATCCATCCAATATCTTTTTTATAGATCTTACCAAAAAAAAGGTACTAGAACAATTCTGCATGTAATTTAAAGATTTTCTTATAGCAAACAATTTGATCAGTTCCTTTTCTTAAAACACAACCTCAAACCTTCTTTACATTCCTTAACATTCATTCTGTCTTGTAACTTTCCTTTATCTCGTTTCAAAACCATCTTCACTTTAACAGGATTCCTTTCCTTTTCCCCACTGATGATATATCTATCCCTTATCTTTCTGGCTTATGACATATATCTATATTAGTACAATATGATCACCCAAGTTTAGACACAAGTTACCAACCATCTCACTTAACATGACAGAACTGTACTCTGCAGTGCTATTTCAAAAGCATTAGATCAGGTCTATAGATATTCAAAAAGCCTTAAAAATTCTCACAATTAAAGCTCTTACAAGGTATATTAAGTGGGCAAAAGATCACTTTACATTAGAAATTAACCTGGAGACATCTTAAAATTCTGATTTCCAGGAAAACACAAATACAAAAAGATTAAAACACTCATAGATTATCAGGAAGCATTAAGGATTTCACACTTCTGTACAAAGCTTTCTGAAGAACAGGTCTAGGTTGATACCCGGTGACAAGGGTTTGCATAAAATAAAGTTATCAAAATAATAGCATGCATTTTCACATACTGGACAGGCTGATTAATAGTCAGTAAAAGTTCCCACATTTTCCATGAAATTATCCATTCTCAGAAACTATTACAGCAAGCTGACATCTGAGATTCTACCCATTTTATAACTCAGTGGTTCTAGAAATTTTAGTTACCAAGAGTCTCAGATCAGATAGAGCACTGGTAGGACAAGTTTTGCAACCAGTTTTATAACTCTGGAAACTCATGTTTAAACTAAACCATTACTTTTTGAACCTCTTTTCATGTATCATAATTATTTTAACTCACAAGATTTTCTAGGTCAAATATTCTAATCCAATGCAGATACAAAGATGTACATTGATATAACAGCATGAAACCTATGAACCACCAATTAATATAAAACATGATAAAACCTTCTTTGGCTTAATTTCAATAGTCTTGTACCTTAGTTATTTAAAATCATGAGCTTTCTACACCAGATACTTTTGACAATTCCACAAGAATACAAACATGTGTTCAGACACAGAAAAAGCCCTTGGGTTTTTACCAAACTTTGATATTATCATAGAAAATAACACTTGGACTGTCAATGTTTAGGGAAACATAAGAAAACTTTGTTTATTTTGATGCCTTCTGTACCTCTGTTGTTTGTAAAACAGCTAAATTCCTCATTACAATTGGCTAAGACTTGTAAGATAAAGCCTTGCATTCTCTGAACTTTATTTCTCATTAGTTTCAGACTCTAGTGCCATAGCTCTTCTAGATAGGACAGATTCTTAAGTTCAAGAGAACTTCAACTGTTACTAACCATTCATGTTCTTCTAACAAGAAATTTAGATTGAGAATTCTGCTTTCTCGGTAGAGA